CTCCTTGATTGATTGATTGATTGATTGATTGATTGATTGATTGATTGATTGATTGAAATGATTGAAATGATTGATTAATTGATGCCCATTTGGAGTAGGTTATCCTGTGTGGTCCCCCCCCCCCCCTGTGTCTCCTTGCCGGTTTGAATCTGTGCTTGCACAGAGGAGGGCCTTTGGCCCAGAGGTATGAGCCTATGAACTACTACTGTGTGATTGCCTCCCAATGAATTTCAATTTGCAATTTTTTCGTCTGTGATTGCCGCCCGATTTGGTTAGTGTGTGTTTGTGGAGTTCTTCATCTCGTATCACATAAGCTGACACCACATATTTCAGTGTGCTGCGAAGTAGGTGCTCCTCCAATTGATGCACCCATGTGCCAATAGTTTTCCAATGACCATTCGAGAAAGCGCCAGCCAGGAACCGCTTGACGGGTCCTTCGGGACGTTCGTTAAAATCGGAACGACACAGAGAAAGAAGGTTAGCATGGCCCTTGCGCTTTCAAGGATGACACGCATAAATCGAGATATGGTCCAAAACTCTCCAAAAAAAAAAAAAAAAAAAGGAATGGGTTGGTGACAGTTGGCAGTTTCTGGTGTCTGTTTGCAGGGCAAAGCTTTAGATCGATGGCTGTCGAAGAAGTACATTGTGCCGACATCTTCAAGCATCGTGCAGACAGATAGCGATCACGATTCGGACGGGTGGACTGCCTCGCACAGTCTCGTGCGGATGAAACACATCTGGGCGGGGGAATGGGAAACTCTGCAGCAAGCGAGGATGGAAGAGGTGCGGAAGGAGAAGGGGACTACCGCAAAGGAACTGGAAAACGTATCGAATTGGGCCGAGATGACGAAGGGGATGTCGAGGCAAGAGAAGAAGACATTCTTTGTGGAAATGTTCAGGGAGCGCCGCATTCTCGCGATGAGAGAGAAGAGAATAAAGGCGCGCTATGGAAAAGTAGTGAGGCTAAAGAAGAGGGTGGGAGATTTTGGGTATATCTATGGCTCTGATCCGAATGAAGCTCGCGATACTGGAGAAGGGAGGGTGGTGGTGAAGCTGTACAGAGAGCCCAGTGATGACACTTCAAGCAGCAGAGTCGGTGCACCCTCTGGGGAGGAGGAGGAGGAGGCGGCAGCGCCGCCAATTTCACTTCATGGCAAGCATTTAACTTCTATGAGAAGTAACGGCCAGCAGGTATATGACATTCCTTGAAGCACCCATCACCAACCCTTGCATTTGGAGGTGATATGTGTAGCATTTTTTTTTTTTTTCAGTTTGTATTCCTTCCTGATTTTTTTTCCCTTCTCTGATATCTAGCATGATAATCTCTCTCTCTCTCTCTCTCTCTCTCTCTCTCTCTCTCTCTCTCTCTCTCTCTCTCTCCCAAGACTGGCTCACCATTCTGGGCCCAGAAGGGCTGGACCCAGCAGGAACCTGGTATGTTCTGAACCAGGAGGGAGATGGCAAAGAGGTGTGGAAGTTGCTGGAAATCCTACCCAGTGGCTTCAGGCGGATCGAGAGGTGGAAGTGCGAGGGCCCATTGAACGCCCTGTCACTTATGGAAGAAGACACAATGCAGCTCCGGGACAACCCTGCACAAGCTCAGGTACTGACTGTGAGGAACAGAAGACCTGCAGCGTGCGTTCACACATGGGTTGGCAGACTCCCACTCAACCCTCTCTCTCTCTCTCTCTCTCTCTCTCTCTCTCTCTCTC